AGAGCGTCGCTGTGCCGTCCACCTTCACCCGGTCAAAATCGCTGTACTCCTGGGATGACGGAGGGGCAAGGGACACGTGTTAGCTGCTGAGCTGAGACCTGGCAAACTCGGTGCCCTGTTTCAGCCCAGCCCTGTCCCCCCCAGTGCAAGGGCCCCGCACTGACCTCGATGAAGGTGCTGTTCCACACCCGGGCGCGGATGCTGAAGGTGGTGGGGTGCTGGGTGTGGAGGAGGGGGCACTCGAACCAGATGCAGCGAGCTGTGCCCTTGGAGCAGCTCTGGGAGATAAGGAGGGGTCGGGGGGGGGAACCAGAGTCCCCAGTGCACCGCGCCAGTGCCAAGAAGCAGCATGTGCCGCGGTCCCGGTGGGGGGCACGTGCTGCCGGACCCCCCCCACCCTGCAGCCCCCACTCACCAGCACCACCTCCGACTTGGCTTTCTTGGCGGTGGCCAGGGTGACGGGGGGCTCCGCCGGCTCGGGGGCTTCCAGCTCCCGTCTCTGCCGGGATGGAGCCTGGTCCTCCAGCAGCTGGGGGGAAGACGAGCCCCATCAGAGCCCGGGCAGCTCTGCCCACCCAGGGCTGATGGGGCTGGAAGTCCCCATGCAGCGGGGCAGGGGCACATCCCTGCAAAGCAGTGGGGCCAAGGTCACTCACGGTGAGGTTGAGGGGGTTAATGACCCCCCCGGGGGGCTGGCAGGTCTCATTACTGTTGACGAGGATCTCAGTGGGGTAGAGGAGCCATTTGCCGTTGGGGATCTCGTAGGGCCACTCGAAACCCAGCAGGATGGTGCCCAGGGTGCCCAGTGACTCACCCTTGGTGGTCACCTGCAAAGCAGAGCAGGGGATGGAGACTGGGACTCCCGGCCCCGCCGCGGGCACCGGCCGCCCCCCAGCTCACCTGGAATTCAAAGGCGAGGGGGCTGCCCACGTCCTGCTCTCTCCGCATGGCCGACTCGCCCACCACCGTCCCGCTGAAGTGCGACTGGGCGTGGGAGGGGGATCTGGGGACAGGGTGGGGGGGTACAGGCATGTCGAGGTGGGCAGAGAGGGCAGGGAGCATCTCTGGGGCATCCCTCTGCCCCATTCCTGGGACACGGCGGGGCCGTGCCCACACCTGACGCAGCCAAATTCGGGTGGGGCAGATGGAGGGGACGCAGCGGGATGGGGGCCACAGCCTTGCTGCACTCACATGGTCAGTGAGGACTGGATGCTGTAGTCCACCAGCAGCTTGGCCAGCACGGGCTGCAGGTCCTCCTGGGTGCTTTGCCTGCCAAGGCATCGGGGTCAGCGTCTCCCACCGCCGAACAGCCACTGGACAGCGTGGGACAGCCCCCACCCTCCCAGCAGGAGCCCTGGGGTCCCCTTGGGGTCCTGCCCACCCCTGCCGGGCTGAGCAGCTCCCTGCCTGCTTTCCGATCCTTCCCCAACCAGCAACGCTGCTGGATACGATCCCAGCTCCACCAACGGAACGAGGAGCTGACATCGCTCCAGGCACCCTCTTCCCAGCCCGTTTCCACCCAGCCGAGGACACTCACGTGGACAGGTCCAGCCACACCGAGACCTCCCGTGTGTCCAGCATGATCCCAATGGCCTCGAAGGTGATGATCAGCTCTACCTGCAGCACAGAGGGACCGTGGAGCAGCTCGGCCGGACCCCCACCTACCCGCTGAGCCCCCAGGCAGGGCTGGGGAGAAGCACTTACCCTCTGGTTCCTCTTAAAAGGGTTGCCCAGCTCGCACAGCACCGTCTCCGCAAAGGTACAGGCTCCGCTCTGGGGAGGGGAAGAGGGTGAGGAACATCCCACCCTGGTCCTCGTGCCTTCTCCAGCTGGGGAGGGGGACACCATCGCTTACCGGGCGAACGGAGGAGGGCAGCAGGCTGGCGGGCACCGTGATGCTGAGCAGCGCCTCGTGGGCATCCTCGCCATTGGAGGGGGTGGTGGGCACGTTGGTGATGTTGATGCTCAGGTAGAGCTTCCGCACGTCCCGGCTGTACTGCAGCACCTGGGTACCGTTCAGCCTGTGCAGAGACCGTCCCTGCTCAGCACACGGGTGGCCCACCCCAGCGGGATGGAGACCCCCGGTACAGCCCGGGGGGGGCTGAGGGGTGACCCATGGCTAAGGAGGGTGGCACAGCAGGCGGCAGAGGTGGATGGGGACCCGGAGGGACCCAGCATCACCTGGGCAGGGGCTGGTTTTGGTCGGTGACGAAGCTGCTCTGGAGCTGGAGGTTGCTGTAGCACTTGTTGTCAGAGCCGCACTCCTTCTGGAACTCGATCTGGAGGGACAGGGACGTCCCCATGAGCCTTCTCCCACCCCCGGGGCCAGGCACGCTGGGGCGCTTGCAGCCCAGCATCTCCATCACCCCTCCGGCACCTTGGTCTCGTTCTCGTGGGACTGGTCCTGGTTGAGGACGGGGAAGGCGTCGAGGGAGCGGGGACCCAGCTGGAAGGTCCTGGGCTTCTCCACCAGTGAGTAGTTCATGGAGAGCACGATGGGGTGCAGCTTGTCTCGGATGTTGTCCTGCAGGGTGGCAGAAATCACAGCAAAGCCCCGGCTCCATCCCCGGCCCCCCTCCAGCTCCAGCTGCAGCCAGGCAGCCCCTGGCCGCGTCTGGGGTACCAGCTCCTGCTCACACCCTGCTTGTGAGACCCAACAAACGCATCACAGGATGGAGGGGTGGATGGACGGACGGACGGACGGACGGATGGATTTCCACCTCTTTTCCTGCCCATGTTGTTCCCAAGACCCTCTGCCCCGCCACACCACCCCTCTCCCCATCTCCCAGAAGCCGGTCCCCAGCTCCAGTGCCACACGCAGAGCAACACGCAGCACCCACATGCGTGCACACACACACACGTGCACTCACGCACGCTCACCAGCAGCAGGAGCTCCTTGGATTCACAGCGGGTCTGGGGCATGGGGAAGATGCCGCGGTAGGTGGCAGAGTGGGTCCCCAAAAACCTGACCCTGGGGGGGTGCCGGTCCTTGTCAGCCTCCAGGGTGTACTCCAGGGCTGCGGGGAGAGCGGAGTGCCGGGGGTGTTGCACACACGCGTGCCTCCAACACAACCCCGTGCGTGCACGCGTATCCCCTGCACGCACGTGTGCACATCCCCACATGCCAACACGCGTGCACGTCCTCCCCAAACCTGTGCTTGCACGCACCCCCTGCACCCCCACGCGTGTGCGCACACCCTTGCACGAGCGCTGGTGGATGCCTCCCCCCCAGCACTTTCCGACGTGCACCCGCGCCCCCGGGCACTCACTGATGTTCTCCTTGTACTTGGGGTCCCCGGCACTCTGGTTGTAGGAGAAGCAGACGGTCACCGTGATACTGGGGGGGGGGGAAGGGGGCTGTGAGCACAGCTGCCGGCACCGCAGTGCCGCGAGCGGGGCCGGCTGCACCGGTGGGGCTCACCAGGAGTCCGGCGTGCAGCGGGCAGGGTCCACCTTGCTGGGGGTCACCGTGAAGGTCTTGTCCAAGATGTTGATCACGGGCCGAGCTCTGGGCAGAGATGGGGGTCGGCTGAGCACCCCGCAGCGGCACAGCCCCTCCTTGCCCGGTGCCAGCTTCCCGGAGCCGGGCACATTGCTCCGTGCCCACCTCGCTGCCCTGGGGCGCTGGCAGAGGCAGGATCTGTCCCTGGGAGGTGGCAGGGAGGGCAGAGGGCTGTAGGACGCCCGCCGCTCGCTGCCGGCTCCCTTACCTGAGCAGGACGACCCTCTCCGCCAAGCTGCCCACCAGGAGGTCGGGGTAGGAGTTACCGTCCACGTCCAGCCCCCCACTCAGCGAGTACCCGAAGGTCCGCATGCTGGCAGGGCCCAGATCCGACCCGCTGATCACCTGCGTTTGTAGGGGGATGTCACCCATTGCTCACCAGCCCCACGGATCTGGGGATCTACCCGCTGCATCCCACCTCGGAGCACGGGATGCTCGGAGGGGATCCGGAGCCCCGCTGCCGCAGCGAGGGGCTCCCCGTGGGGCCGTTACCTGCCGGGGTTTGTCCAGCAGCCCTTCTGCGCTGCTGTGGTAGATGTAGACCTTGCCGGGCCCCTCGAAAGGAGCCCCCACAGCGATATCTGTGGGGCGAAGAGCAGGGTCAGCCCCACAGGAATGGGCTCGGGGCTGCCCCGCTTCTCTTCACCCCAAACCTCTCCAGAGACCCACCACCCCCCTCAAGTGGGATCCCCTCCTACCTGAAGACACCCCCCCACCCCAAAGGCAGCCCTGCTGCACCCTCCACCATGGCTCCCCCTGCAGTGGTCCCCAGCCCCTCACCCTGGAAGCCGTCCTGGTTGACGTCCCCAATGCTGGCCACGGCGAAGCCAAAGGCGGAGTAGCTGGGGCCGGTGAGGACCAGGCTGGGGTGGGACTGGAAGCCCCCCACCTCGTTCATGTAGACATAGACTGCGCCCCCCACCTCCTGCTTCCGCTGGAAGTAGTAAGGGGCTCCCACCACCAGGTCCTGCCACCTGTGGGGCCGAGGGGCTGGGTGGGGGTGGGG